AGCATCTTTAGGATTCTCTATGTATAGTATCATGTCATCTGCAAACTGTGTCAGCTTAACTTCTTATTTGCTGATTTGGATTCCTTTTATTTCCTTTTCTTCTCTGATTGCTGTGGCTAAAACTTCCAAAACTATGTTGAATAAGAGTGGTGAGAGTGGGCAACCTTGTCTTGTTCCTGATCTTAGTGGAAATGCTTTCAGTTTTTCACCATTGAAGACGATGTTGGCTGTGGGCTTGACATATATGGCCTTTATTATGTTAAGGAAAGTTACCTCTATGCCTACTTTCTGCAGGTTTTTATCATAAATGGGTGTTGAATTTTGTCAAAAGCTTTCTCTGCATCTATTGAGATGATCATATGGTTTTTCTCCTTCAATTTGTTAATATGGTTTATCACATTGATAGATTTCCGTATATTGAAGAATCCTTGCATTGCTGGAATAAACCCCACTTCATCATGGACTATGATACTTTTAATGTGCTGTTGATTCTGTTTGCTAGTATTTTGTTGAAGATTTTTGCATCTATGTTCATCAGTGATATTGGCCTGTAGTTTTCTTTCTTTGTGACATCCTTGTCTGGTTTTGGTATCAAGGTGATGGTGGCCTCCTAGAATGAGTTTGGGAGTGTTCCTCCCTCTGCTATATTTTGGAAGAGTTTGAGAAGGATAGGTGTTAGCTCTTCTCTAAATGTTTGATAGAATTTGCCGGTGAAGCGATCTGGTCCTGGGCTTTTGTTTGTTGGAAGATTTTTAATCACAGTTTCAATTTCAGTGCTTGTGATTGGTCTGTTCATATTTTCTATTTCTTCCTGATTCAGTCTTGGCAGGTTGTGCATTTCTAAGAATTTGTCCATTTCTTCCAGGTTCTCCATTTTATTGGCATAGAGTTGCTTGTAGTAATCTCTCATGATCTTTTGTATTTCTGCAGTGTCAGTTGTTACCTCTCCTTTTCCATTTCTAATTCTATTGAGTCTTCTCCCTTTTTTTCTTGATGAATCTGGCTAATGGTTTATCTATTTTGTTTATTTTCTCAAAGAACCAGCTTTTAGTTTTATTGATCTTTGTTATTGTTTCCTTCATTTCTTTTTCATTTATTTCTGATCTGATTTTTATGATTTCTTTCCTTCTGCTAACTTTGGGGTTTTTTTGTTCTTCTTTCTCTAATTGCTTTAGGTGCAAGGTTAGGTTGTTTATTCGAGATGTTTCCTGTTTCTTAAGGTGGGCTTGTATTGCTATAAACTTCCCTCTTAGAACTGCTTTTGCTGCATCCCATAGGTTTTGGGTCGTCGTGTCTCCATTGTCATTTGTTTCTAGGTATTTTTTGATTTCCTCTTTGATTTCTTCAGTGATCACTTCGTTATTAAGTAGTGTATTGTTTAGCCTCCATGTGTTTGTATTTTTTACAGATCTTTTCCTGTAATTGATATCTAGTCTCATGACGTTGTGGTCAGAAAAGATACTTGATACAATTTCAATTAAATTTACCAAGGCTTGATTGTGAACCAAGATATGATCTATCCTGGAGAATGTTCCATGAGCACTTGAGAGAAATGTGTATTCTGTTGTTTTGGGGTGGAATGTCCTATAAATATCAATTAAGTCCATCTTGTTTAATGTATCATTTAAAGCTTGTGTTTCCTTATTTATTTTCATTTTGGATGATCTGTCCATTGGTGGAAGTGGGGTGTTAAAGTCCCCTACTATGAACGTGTTACTGTCAATTTCACCTTTTATGGCTGTTAGTATTTGCCTTCTGTATTGAGGTGCTCCTATGTTGGGTGCATAAATATTTACAATTGTTATATCTTCTTTTTGGATGGATCCCTTGATCATTATGTAGTGTCCTTCGTTGTCTCTTCTAATAGTCTTTATTTTAAACACTATTTTGTCTGATATGAGAATTGCTACTGCAGCTTTCTTTTGGTTTCCATTTGCATGGAATATCTTTTTCCATCCCCTTACTTTCAGTCTGTATGTGTCTCTAGGTCTGAAATGGGTCTCTTGTAGACAGCATATATATGATTCTTGTTTTTTAATCCATTCAGCCAATCTGTGTCTTTTGGTGGGAGCATTTAGTCCATTTACATTTAAGGTAATTATCGATATGTATGTTCCTATTACCATTTTCTAAATTGTTTTGGGTTCGTTATTATAGGTCTTTTCCTTCTCTTGTGTTTCTTGCCTAGAAAAGTTCCTTTAGCATTTCTTGTAAAGCTGGTTTGGTGGTGCTGAACTCTCTCAGCTTTTGCTTGTCTGTAAAGGTTTTAATTTCTCCATCAAATCTGAATGAGATCCTTGCTGGGTACAGTAATCTTGGTTGCAGGTTTTTCTCCTTCATCAGTTTCAGTATGTCCTGCCAGTCCCTTCTGGTTTGCAGTGTTTCTGCTGAGAGATCAGCTGTTAACCTTATGGGGATTCCCTTGTGTGTTATTTGTTGTTTTTCCCTTGCTGCTTTTAATATGCTTTCTTTGTATTTAATTTTTGACAGTTTGATTAATATGTGTCTTGGCGTATTTCTCCTTGGATTTATCCTGAATGGGACGCTCTGTGATTCCTGGACTCCATTAACTATTTCCTTTCCCATATTAGGGAAGTTTTCAACTATAATCTCTTCAAATATTTTCTCAGTCCCTTTCTTTTTCTCTTCTTCTTCTGGAACCCCTATAATTCGAATGTTGGTGCGTGTAATGTTGTCCCAGAGGTCTCTGAGACTGTCCTCAGTTCTTTTCATTCTTTTTCCTTTATTCTGCTCTGGTGTAGTTATTTCCACTATTTTATCTTCCAGGTCACTTATCCGTTCTTCTGCCTCAGTTATTCTATTGATCCCATCTAGGGTATTTTTCATTTCATTTATTGTGTTGTTTATCATTGTTTGTTTCATCTTTAGTTCTTCTAGGTCTTTGTTTCTTGCATTTTGTCTATTCTATTTCCAAGATTTTGGATCATCTTTACTATCATTATTCTGAATTCTTTTTCAGGTAGACTGCCTATTTCCTCTTCATTTGTTAGGTCTGGTGGGTTTTTATCTTGCTCCTTCATCTGCTGTGTATTTTTCTGTCTTCTCATTTAGCTTATCTTACTGTGTTTGATGTCTCCTTTTCACAGGCTGCAGGTTCGTAGTTCTCGTTGTTTTTGGTGTCTGTCCGCAGTGGCTAAGGTTGGTTCAGTGGGTTGTGTTGGCTTCCTGGTGGAGGGTACTAGTGCCTGTGTTCTGGTGGATGCGGCTGGATCTTGTCTCTCTCGTAGGCAGGTCCACGCCTGGTGGTGTGTTTTGGGATGTCTGTGGCCTTATTATGATTTTAGGCAGCCTCTCTGCTAATGGGTGGGGTTGTGTTCCTGTTTTGCTAGTTTTTTGGCATAGGGTGTCCAGCAGTGTAACTTGCTTGTCATTGAGTGAAGCTGGGTGCTGGTGTTGAGATGGAGATCTCTGGGAGATTTTTGCCGTTTGATATTATACGGAGCTGGGAGGTCTCTTGTGGACCAGTGTCCTGAAGTTGGCTCTCCCACCTCAGAGGTACAGCAATGACTCATGGCTGCAGCACCAAGAGCCTTTTATCCACACAGCTCAGAATAAAAGGGAGAAAAAGTAGAGAGAAAGAATTAGTAGAAGTAGGAAGAAAGAAAAGAAAGAAAGGAAGGAAGAAAGATGGGAGGGAGGGAGGAAGGAAGGAAGGAAAAAGAAAGAAAGAAGATAAAGTAAAATAAAATAAAGATAAAATATAAATTTATTAAAATAAAAAAATAATTATTAAGGAAAAAAGACAAAAAAAAAACCGGATAAAACCCTGGGATAAATGGTGGAAGCGAAGCTATACAGACAAAATCTCACACAGAAGCATACACATACACACTCACAAAAAGAGGAAAAGGGGAAAAAATATATCTTGCTCTCAAAGTCCACCTCCTCAATTTGGGATGATTGGTTGTCTATTCATGTATTCCACAGATGCAGGTACATCAAGTTGTTTGTGGAGCTTTAATCCGCTGCTCCTGAGGCTGCTGGGAGAGATTTCCCTTTCTCTTCTTTGTTCTCACAGCAGCTCCCAGGAGTTCAGCTTTAGATTTGGCCCCGCCTTTGCGTGTAGGTCCCCGGAGGGCGTCTGTTCTTCCCTCAGAGAGGACGGGGTTGAAGGAGCCGCTGATTCGGGTGCTCTGGCTCACTCAGGCTGGGGGGTGGGGTGGCGAGGGGCATGGAGTGCAGGGCGAGCCCACGTCAGCAGAGGCCGGCATGACGTTGCATTCTCCCAGGGGAGTTGTCCCTGGGCGCGCCGTGCATTCTCCCAGGGGAGTTGTCCCTGGATTCCGGGACCCTGGCAGTGGCGGGCTGCACAGGCTCCCCAGAAGGGGGGTGTGGACAGTGACCTGTGCTCGCACACAGGCTTCTTGGTGGTGGCAGCAGCAGCCTTAGCGTCTCATGCCCGTCTCTGTGGTCCGCTCTTTTAGCCGCAGCTCGCGCCCGTCTCTGGAGCTCCTTTAAGCAGCGCTCTTAATCCCCTCTCCTCGCGCACCAGGAAACAAAGAGGGAAGAAAAAGCCTCTTGCCTCTTCGGCAGCTCCAGACTTTTCCCCGGACTCCTTCCTGGCTAGCCGTGGTGCACTAACCCCCTGCACGCTGTGTTCACACCACCAACCCCAGTCCTCTCCCTGTGCTATGACTGAAGCCCGAGCCTCAGCTCCCAGCCCCGCCCGCTCCAGCGGGGGAGCAGACAAGGTTCTTGGGCTGGTGAGTGCTGGTTGGCACTGATCCTCTGTGCGGGCATCTCTCCGCTTTGCCCTCCACAGCCCTGTTGGTGTGCTCTCCTCTGCGGCTTCGAAGCTCCCCCCCTCCGCCACCCGCAGTCTCTGCCTGCGAAGAGGCTTCCTAGCGTGTGGAAACCTTTCCTCCTTCACAGCTCCCTCCCACTGGTGCAGGTCCCGTCCCTATCCTTTTGTCTCTGTTTATTCTTTTTTCTTTTGCCCTACCCAGGTACATGGGGGGGGTTTCTTGCCTTTCGGGAGGTCTGAGGTCTTCTGCCAGCGTTCAGTAGGTGTTCTGTACGAGTTGTTCCAGGAGTCGATGTATTTCTGGTGTATCTGTGGGGAGGAAGGGGATCTCCGCGTGTTAGTCTTCTGCCATCTCCCGGAAGTCCCCAAGATTATTGATATAATGTGTTACTGCGAACAGCTGTAAGTGACCCAGCAGGTTATTAGTTTGATTGACCGAATCATGGTTTTAATGATGACTTCAATTCAATAAAATTTCAATGACAGAATTTCCCTGGCATAATTTTTAGGAAGCAGTTGAGACAGAGAGATGCAAGTAGTGGATTGAAGTTATTATGTAGAAATAGAACACCGTTTCCTTGACTCTAACCACCAGGAGGACCCAGTGGACACTCCACTCTCTAAAACATTACAAAATTAAATAATGAGAGACGGCATCCATAAAATCTCCATGATGGCTGTCTCTTAGGCTAGGACTGATAGTGTGAAATGCTTCCTTTAAAATGAAGTTCCTGAATTCAAAAGACATGATGGAATTCTGGAGCAAGGAGTCCAGGTAAGAGTAAGTAGCCATGAGAAACAATGTGGTCACCAACACTGTGACAGGCATCATGGATAAGGTGGAGATGAGAGTATTCTGACATGAAGGAATCTATGAGAGTGGTTTATGATTTACGGTGAGCCAAGGAATGAAACAGATGGTCAGTTTACTAAAGTGCTACTTCATCTACAGGTGTCTTTGGTTTTATCGCCCTTTGCAGTACTGAGCTTCCCAGATATTGTGTTTTTTACAAGTTGACGTTTTGTGGAAACCCTACATGGAGAAATTCTCTCAGCACCATTTTTCGAGCAGCAATTGCTCACCTCATGTCTCTGTGTCACATTTTTGCAATTCTCAAAACATTTCAAACTTTTCATTATTGTTATGTTTGTTATGGTGACCGGGTGACCTTTGTTGTGACTACCATATTGTCATTGCTTTGGGGAAACATGAACTGCACCCTCATAAGATGGCTGTGAACTTAACTGATAATATTGTGTGTATTCTGACTGCTCCACCAACCAGCCATTTCCCTCTCTCTCCCATCTCTCTCCCTCTCCTCAAGCCTCTCTATTCCCTGAGACACAGCAATATTGAAATTAGGCCAATTAATAGCCCTACAATGGTCTCTAAGTGTTCAAATGAAAGGAAGGGTTGTACAGCTCTCACTTTAAGTAAAAAGACAAATAAATTAGCTTAGTGAGGAGGGCATGTACAAAGCTGAGATAGGGCAAAAACTAGGCTTCCAAGTGAATGCAAAGGAAAAGTTCTTGAAGGAAATTAAAAGTGCTCGTCTGAATACATGATAATAAGAAAGTGAAAGGGCCTTATTGCTGATAAGAAGAAAGTTTCAGTGGTCTGGTTAGGAGATCAAACCAGCTACAACATTCTCTTATGCCAAAGCCTAATCCAGAGCAAGGTCCTAACTCGCTTCAATCCTATGAAAGCTGAGAGAGGTAAAGAAGCTGCAGAGAAAAGTTTGAAGTTAGCTGAGGTTGATTCATGAGGTTTAAGGAAAGAAGCTGTCTCCATAACATTAAGGCAGAAGTGCTGGTGTAGAAGCTGCAGCAAATTATTCTGAAGATCCAGCTGAGATAGTTAATGAAGGTGGCTACTCTAAACAGTAGATTTCAATGCAGACAAAACAACCTTCTATTGGAAGAGCATGCCATCTAAGACTCTCATAGCCAAAGAGAAGTCAATGCCTGGCTTCAAAGTTTCAAAGGCCAGGCTGACTCTCTTAGGGGCTAATGCAGCTGGTGACTTGAAGTTGAAGTCAATGCTCATTTACCATTCCCCACATCCCAGGGCCCTGAAGAGTTACGCTAAATCTACTCTGCCTGTTCTCAATAAATGGAGCAACAAAGTCTCAATGAGAGTACATCTGTTGACAACATGGTTAACTGAATACTTTAAGCCCACTGTTGAGACATACTGCTTAGAAAAAAAGATTCCTTACAAAATGTTACTACTCACTGACAATGCACCTGGCCAGCCAAGAGCTCTAATAGAGATGTACGACGAGATTCATGTTGTTTTCATGCCTGCTAACACAACATCCACTCTGCAGCCTGTAGATAAAGGAGTCATTTTGACTCTCAAATTTTATTATTTACGAAATACATCCCATAAGGCTATAGCTGACATAGATAGTGGATCTGATGGATCTGGGCAAAGTCAATTGACAACTCTATGGAAAGGAGTCACCATTCTAGATGCCATGAAGCATATTAGTGATTCATGGGAAGAGGTCCCAATAACAACATTAATAGAAGTTTGGAAGAAGTTGATACCAACCCTCATGGATGATTTTGGAGAAAATAACTGCAAATATGGTGGAAATAGCTTTGCAACCACCTAGAGGGGTGGGGTAAGGAGAGTGGGAGGGAGATCCAAGAGGGAGGGGATATGGGGATATACAGACACACAGAGCTGATTCACTTTGTTATACAGCAGAAACTAACACTACACTGTAAAGCAATTAATTATAGTCCAATAAAGATGTTAAAAAAAAGTGGAGCCTGAACATGTGACTGAGTTGCTGCAATCTCATAAAACTTGAACAGGTGAGGGGGTGCTTCTTATGGATGAGCACAGAAAGTGGTTTCTTGACATGGAATCTACTTCTGGTGAAGATACTACAAATATTTTTGATATGAGAATAAAGGATTTAGACTATTATGTAACTTTATTTGATAGAGTAGGGGCAGGGTTTGAGAGGACTGCTGCCATTTTGAAAGTTCTGTGAGTAAAATTCTATGGAAGGGCGTTGTAAGTGACAAAGATATCGCTAGTGAGAGGAAGAGTCAACTAATGTGGCAACTTCACTGTTTTATTTTAAGAAACTGCCACAGCAACCCCAGGCTTCAGTAGCCACCGCCCTGATCATCAGTCAGCAGCCGTCAGCACTGGCACAAGACCCTCCACCAGCAAAAAGATTATGACTCACTAAAGGCTCCGATGATGGTTAGTATTTTTTAGCAATAAAGTATTTTAAAATTAAGGTATGTACATTGTCTTTTAGATATAATGCTATTGTACACTTCATAGACTACAGTAAAAAGTGTAAACGTAACTTTTATATGTACTGGGAAACTAAAAGAACTATGTCCCTCACTTTATTGTGGTATTCACTTTATTGCATTGATCTGGATCTGAACCTGCGATATCTCCAAGGTATGCCTGTGTATAAACAAATATTCCCTAGGCATGGTGAGCAGTCAGCTTATTTGAACTGTCAACATAGATAGTCATGGCTTCTCACCCAATTAGCAGTCCTTTATAGAAGGGGAGTCTGATATCTTTGAGGAAGTACTCTGCAATAAGATTATAGTATTGTGGTAGGACAGAATAATGAACCCCCAAAGATGTCTTTGTCCTAATCCAGGAAAACTGTCACTATGTTAGATTATATGGACTATGTTAGATTCTATGGCAAAATAGAATTAAGATTGCATATGGAATTAAGATTTCCAATCAATCAGCTGACATTTAAAAAGGGTGATTTTTCTGCCTTATCCAGATTAATTCAATGTAACTAAAAGAGTCCTTAAATTGGAAGGGGAGGCTAAAAAGAGATCAGAGAGTCAAAGGGAAATGTTACAAGGAAGAATGGCCAGAGAGATGAAACGTTGCTGCCTTTGAAGATGGAGGAAGGGAGCCAGGAATGTGGGCAACCTCTAGAGCTAGAAAATGCAAGGAAATATTTTCTCTTAAAGGTGCTGTAAGGCCAACTGGCCCGAGGCAGGCGAACGCAATCAGACTCACAGGTTGCATCAGACCAAAACTCTCCGGACCACCCAGTTCCAGAAACTGACCTGGAGACTTTCCGGACCACCCAGTTCCAGGAACTGACCTGGGGACTTTGAACCTGGCCCAGCCTTCCCCCGCCTTTCGAGGGGAGGGACTAACGGTCCCCCAGGATACCCGAAAAGACCACCAAATAAGGAATACCCTGTGCCCTCCCAGATTCACCACACCCCTTTCCCTTCTTCCCCTATAAAATCTTGCCCAAGCCTCGCCCGGGTGCGACTTCTCTGGCCCCTTTCTCTCGGACCAGTGAACCTCGCCCGGGAGCGCTCCCTAATAAAGCTCACTTGAAGCTTTCCTTTGTTTCGCGGTGCCGTTTGTTAAGATCCGACCTTACATTTGGTGCCAAAACCCGGGAGGGGTATCAAGCCCCGCGGGTTACCGCATGGGCCGCTCCTCCCCTCCCCCAGGAGACAACCAGGGAACCTCTACTCATCCACCCGATCCGGCAGAAAACGGGGTAAGTCCCCCTCCCTTGTTCCCTCCGACCCCCAGAGTCCCGGCCCACCGGACTCCCTGTCCCTAATCGCGGCCGCCTCAGGGACCTCCGTCCTCTCTCCGGGCCTCGGGCAACTGTGGAGACGTCTCAATCGCCTGACCACCCTCTGACCTGCCATGAATTGGAGACTGAGACCAGGGACGCCTCTCTCCCTCTCCAATCACTCAGGGACAGACTGGGGGTCATGGGAAGCTCACAATCGAGACAAGATCCTAAGACGCCCCTGGGGTGTCTCCTAGCCAATTTTACAGCCCTCAGTTTCTCCCAAGATCTCCGTCGCCGACGGCTTATCCTCAAGACAATCAATCCAAATGGCCTCCTGAAGGGACTTTCGATTTTAACATCCTCCGTGATCTAGATAATTACTGCCGCAGGACGGGCAAATGGTCTGAGGTCCCCTATGTCCAGGTTTTTTGGTATTTGCGCTCTCGCCCCTCCCTTTGCGTCAATTGTTCTACCTCAAATCCTCCTTCCCAAACAAACATCTCCTCCACCCAAAACCTCAATCCCCTTGGATGATGATTCCTCCCCACTAACCGACCCACCCGAATCTCTCGCCTCTCCCCCCTCCAGAGCTCCTCTCCAACCTCCACCCTACCCTGAAGCGGTCCCTCCTCCTCCCGAACCCTGCTCCGGCCCCTCCAACCGCTCCCCCGCCTCCCTCAACGGTTTCTCCTCCCACGCCCCTTGCTTCGCCAATTAGTGCACATACATACACGCTCTCACGACTCCCAAGATCCAAATCTCCTCTGCCCTCTGAGGGAGGTAGCAGGAGCGGAAGGACTGGTCAGGGTCCATGTCCCTTTCTCTCCCCAGGACCTCTCTCAAACTGAAAAACGATTAGGCTCCTTCTCTGCCGACTCCTCCCACTACATCAAAGAATTTCGCTACCTATCTCGAGCTTACCATCTAACCTGGCACGATATCTTTGTGGTTCTGTCCTCTACCTTAACCCCTGACGAAAGGGAAAGAATTCAAACGGCTGCCCGAAACCATGCAGATCAGGTTCACCTTACCAACAACTCGATGCCTGTCGGAGCGACTGCCGTACCTGGCACCTATCCAGGCTGTACTTATCAGGATGGCCAAGATGGCCACCGTAAACGCGACCTCATGATCCAATGCCTCCTGGCTGGCATGCAGGCTGCCGCTCATAAGGTAGTCAATTTTGAAAAACTAAAAGAGATAACCCAAGAACCTAACGAAAATCCAGCTATCTTTCTCAATCGCCTTACAGAGGCTTTAACTCTCTACACCCAGCTGGATCCTGACACCCCGGCAGGGGCAGCGGTCCTGGCCACCCATTTTATCACCCAATCAGCCACGGACGTCCGAAAGAAATTAAAACGGGCAGAAGACGGCCCTCAAACCCCTATTCGAGACCTGGTAAAAATGGCCTTTAAAGTCTATAATGGCCGTGAGGATTTGGCAGAATCCAGCCGACAGGTGGTCAGAAGGTGGCCCTCCAAACCCAAGCTCTTGTAGCCGCCCTAAGGCCGGCCATCTCCCATGGATCACAGCATCCACGGGGTCCGCAAAAGGCAACCCCGCCGGGGGCTGCTTCAAATGCGGAAAACAAGGCCACTGGGCTCGGCAATGTCCCAATCCCCTACCTCTTTCTAAGCCCTGTCCCAGCTGCGGGCTAATGGGCCACTGGAAGAGTGACTGCCCAAGACTGGCCCTCCCTCAGCGTCTCCACGCAGGGGGCAGGCCGACCCAACGGCATTACCACTCGAACTGCTGGGATTGGCTGACGACTGACGGTGCCCGGACTCGAAGACCCCCATCACCCTCGCCGAGCCCAGGGTAACACTACAGGTAGCAGGTAAGTCCATCTCATTTCTGGTGGACATGGGGGCTACCTATTCGGTCCTGCCTACTTATTCCAGGCCAGTTTCTCCTTCCCAGATCTCGGTCATGGGTATTGATGGCAAACCATCCTTCCCACTCCAGACCGGTCCACTCCCATGTCATATCGAAGGACTCCCTTTTACTCATTCCTTCTTAGTCATACCATGCTGCCCAGTTCCCTTGCTAGGCCGAGATGTCTTTTTCCACTTAGGGGCCTCCCTCCAGCTGATTAGACTTGACCCTAAGGTCCCCTCCTCCCAACTCCTGCTTCCTCTTCTCGGCCTGTCTCTAGAACCCTCCCCCTCCTATCCCCCTCTTCCAATCACACCAAACCCAATCAATGCCCAAGTCTGGGATACTTCTAAGCCCATAATAGCAACACACCATTCCCCCGTCCTCATCTGCCTAAAGGACCCCTCCAAATTTCCATCAAGACCCCAATTTCCCATCTCTTAGACTCACCTTAGGGGCCTACAACCTATTATCACCAGACTCCTAAACCAGGGACTCCTTATCCCCACTGGCTCTCCCTGCAACACCCCCATCCTGCCTGTCCGCAAGTCCTCTGGGGATTATCACCTGGTCCAGGACCTCCGACTAATCAATGAGGCCATAATTCCTCTCCACCCAGTAGAACCAAACCCATACACCTTGCTCTCCCATATCCCCCCATCCACAGCCCACTTTACGGTTCTGGATCTCAAAGATGCCTTTTTCACTATCCCCCACATCCCGACTCCTATTTCCTCTTTGCCTTTACCTGGACGGATCCGGATACTCATACTTCCAGTCAGCTCACCTGGACAGTTCTTCCCCAGGGCTTCCGCGACAGTCCTCACCTCTTCGGTCAGGCGCTGGCACGGGACCTCACTTCCTGCTCCCTTACCCCCAGCACACTCCTTCAATATGTAGATGACCTCCTCCTTTGTAGCCCGTCTCTCAGCCTCTCAAGACAACATACTGCAGATCTCCTCAATTACCTTGGCTCTCGCAGTTATCGGGTCTCCCCAGCCAAGGCTCAGTTATCTGTATCTTCTGTAACCTACCTGGGGCTCCACCTTACCCCTACCACAAAAGGTCTAACAGCCGACCGCACCCGGATTATCCGTGAACTCCACCTCCGGAAACAGCGGAACAAATTCTCTCCTTTCTGGGCCTCGTAGGATTTTTCCGACACTGGATCCCTAACTTTGCTCTCCTCACTAAACCCTTATATCTAGCCGCTAAAGAAACCCCTCAAGGACCCCTCACCTCTTCTTCCGCCATTCGACAGGCCTTTCTCACCCTCCGTAACGCTCTGATATCTTCTCCTTCCCTTTCTCTGCTCAACCCAAACGACCTTTTCACCTTCTTGTGGATGAACGGGCCGGAATAGCCACTGGACTCCTTGCCCAGCCTGTAGGGCCTTCCTACCGCCCCGTGGCTTACCTCTCTAACCAGCTAGACCCAACCATTCGGGGATGGCAACCATGCCTTCGGGCCCTAGCAGCGGCAGCCGAACTGACCAAACACTCAAACTGACTCTGGCCCACCCACTAAGCGTGTTTTCCTCCCACCGGCTGGTCGACCTCCTAGGCCACAAGTCTCTCTCCCTCCTGGGCCCCTCCCGCATCCAGGAGTTCCACCTACTGTTCAGTGAAAAGCCTGCTATCTCCCTCGACCCCCCCCCCCCCGCCCCCGCCTAAACCCGGCCTCCCTCTTGCCTATCTCTGATACCGGGACCTCCCCTTCCCACTCCTGCCCCCAAGTCGTAGAGGCCCTCAGCCCGCCTAGGGAGGGACGCTTTGATACTCCACTGTTAAACCCGGACCGCACCCTCTTCGTAGATGGCAGCTCAATACTCGGCCCCGACGGACGCCGCAGGGCGGCCTATGCGGTAGTAACCATCTCAACCATTATCGAGGCCAACCGCCTCCCAGAAGGGACAACCTCTCAAAGGGCTGAACTGATAGCACTCACACGGGCCCTCGACCTCTCTAAGGGCCAAAGGGCCATCTTTCTCCCTATGGTCGCAGGCATTTCCCTCGCCTCCTCTCTCGTTGCTGCAGGCATTGGGGGAGAAGCCCTAACACACAGTGTCTCAACATCCCGTGACCTAGAACAGAAACTCCAGCTAGCCATCGAGGCTTCTGCCGCCTCCATCACCTCCCTCCAGCGCCAGATCACCTCAGTAGCCCGAGTTGCCCTCCAAAATCGACGCGCCCTGGACCTTCTGACAGCCGACAAAGGAGGTACCTGCCTCTTCCTACAGGAAGAGCGCTGCTACTACATCAACGAGACAGCGGTCGTTGAGGACAATGTAGATGCTCTCCGGCGCTTAAACGAAGAACTCCAACGCAGGCAGCGACAGTCCACCTCCCCCAGTTCCCGACTGGTGGCGGTCCACCCTCTATACCTGGCTGACACCAATCCTAGGCCCCTTAATTCTCATCTGTATCTTGTTCATGCTTGCTCCCTGTTTTCTTAGGTTCCTTCGCAGGCGCATGGAGGAAGCCTCTCGGGTGGCCACAAACCAAATGCTCCTCGGCCCTTACACCTTGCTTCCTACAGAATCATCCACTGGTCTCCCCTCAGCCTCGGACCTCTGGTCGCCCGACTCCCCTTTCGATGCCTCCATTCAGCAATAAGTAGCCAGAGATCAGAACGCCGCCCCATTACACCAAAGATGTCGGGATGTAAGGCCAACTGGCCCGAGGCAGGGGAACGCAATCAGATTCACAGGTTGCATCAGAACAAAACTCTCCGGACCACCCAGTTCCAGAAACTGACCTGGAGACTGTCTGGACCACCCAGTTCCAGGAACTGACCTGGGGACTTTCCACCCGGCCCAGCCTTCCCACCTTTCGAGGGGCGGGACTAACGGTCCCAAGACTGATGCAACCGGCATCAGATATTGCCACGATACCCGAAGAGACCACCAAATAAGGAATACCCTGCACCCTCCCAGATTCACCACACCCCTTTCCCTTCTTCCCCTATAAAATCTTGCCCAAGCCTCACCCGGGTGCAACTTCTCTGGCCCCCTTCTCTCGGACCAGTGAACCTCGCCCGGGAGCGCTCCCTAATAAAGCTCACTTGAAGCTTTCCTCTGTTTCGCGGTGCCATTTGTTAAGATCCGACCTTACAGGTGCCAGAAAGGAACATAGCCTTACCTTGATTTCAGCCTAGTGGGAACTGTATCAGACTTCTAACCTATGGAAATACAAGATGATAAATTTGTGTTGTTTTAATGCCACTGAATTTTTGGTAATTTGTTACATCGACAAGAGAATACTAATACAAATATATACTGCAAATATTTCTGCAAGATGTTTCCAAGGGTCTGTGAAGCTATTTACATAGAATGGCTATGAACTTGGAAGGAGTAGCAATCAGACTTTAGGGACACTGGCTCTGAATTAATGCAAATGTGGAGGAATAAAATAGTACTGTGTGGTCCATGTGGAAGTTAGGTCAATAATAAATGGACCTTCAGCCTGAGTCCATCTTGTGTTCGTCCTAGTTAATCAAGTAGAACATCCTGTGGTGTTCCCACATGTTAATTTTATATTTGCAGTTGAAATAGCTATACCCAGCAAATGGAAAAAAATCATAAGCTGGTTTTCTGACTCATGGAATAAGGGCTAATATGGTAGAAAGACCAAGTGGACATCCCTAAATTTACTCCTCCTTAGCAAAATACTAAACCAAGTGCAGTACCACATTTCTGAGTGAATTATAGAGATTACTTTAACCATCAACAGCTTGAAAGATGCAGGGGTGATGATTCATAGTCTATCCTTGTTTAAATTGCCTGTTTGGCCAATGCGAAAGCTGGATGGGTCTATGACTGTGGGTTATTGTTAATGTCATCAAAGAGTGATGCAGCTTTCCTCCAGATGTGTATCTTTACTGCAGCTTTCCTCCAGATGTGTATCTTTACCGGAGCAAATCAACACAGCCAGTGACGTGTGGCATGCAGCTATTAATGTGGCAAATAAACTTTTCTCCATTGGCAAGGCATATCTGAAGTAATTGGATTTTACCTGGCAGGGACATCAATACACCTTTATTGTCTTACCTCAGGGCCTGTCCACAGGGGCTTGAACTAATATCCCAAAGAATATCATGTTGGTCCACAACACTGATGACATTATGATTGCACCTGTGAATAGGAAGTACCAGACACTAGCTGTCAAGATGCTTTATGTCAAGTATGTCAGAGGGTGGAAGATAAACTCCCTGAAAATTTAGTCTCTAGTGTATCAGTGAAATTTTTAGAGATTCAGTGGTCCATGTTATCTATGGGTATCTAAAGAAAAAGCAGGTTGCCGCACCCTGTAATTTCTACCAGTTGTTGAAAAATGCAACCTATGATGGACCTCTATACTTAGAAAGCAACTTAAACCACATGTGCGTGTGGTGCTCTTACATTTTACTTAACACATAAGTCAGCTAGTTGTGAGTGGGACCCAGAGCACGACACTACTCTGCAGCAGATTCAAGCTGTGGTGCAATTAATTTTTCCACTTAAGCCTTGTAACACAGTAGAAGCAACAGTAGTCAAAGTATCTCTGGCAAATTAAGATGCTCTAATGGAGGCCCTATTTGGCCCCAAGAGGAGAATCAGTATAAACATCAAAATTTTCAGATAAAAACTACTTTCTTGTGTGGATAACTATTATCGTTGAAGAAGCAATTATTTTATTTCTACTAAACTCTGGTAGAGACTGAAAGCCTGACTAAAGGAAACAAAGTGACTATTATAAATCGGATTTTTGGGCTTCCCTGGTGGCGCAGTGGTTGAGAGTCCGCCTGCCGATGCAAGGGACACGGGTTCGTGCCCTGGTCCAGGAAGATCCCACATGCTGCAGAGTGGCTGGGCCCGTGAGCCATGGCCACTGAGCCTGCGCATCTGGAGCCTGTGCTCCGCAACGGGAGAGGCCACAACAGTGAGAGGCACGTGTACTGCAAACATGTAATAAAAAAAAAAAAAAAAAATTTTATATATATATATATATATAAAAATTGGGTTTTTTATAACAAAGTAGGTACAGTATTAGCTGATGCAACAAGCCATGAGTTTAAGAAGATGCAGTATCAGTATCTTTAAGTGGAAAGGACATATACAATATCATGTCTTAACAGATCAGAAAACACAAGTACGTTGCTTGAGCAGATAGATCAGTTTCTCCTGATCCCTACTTCTGTGTGTTGCCCACCCTTCCTCAGGCTCCAGTTATGGAATCATGTGAGGTTCCCTATAATCAGGTGACAGAGAAAGAAAAAATCAGCCTTGTTTTTACAGGTGGATTTGCATAATATGTGGGCAGTGGAACTAATGAGATACTACTGTATCACAGCCCATCTCATGGGTGACTCTGAAGAAGAGTGAAGAAAACTTTCACTTTTTCATCTGCCTGTTGGTCATCTGTAAGTCTTCTTTGGAGAAGTGCCTATTTAGATCTTCTACCCATTTTCTGATTGGGTTGGGGTGTTTTTTGATACGGAGCAGTATGGACCGTTTGTATGTTATGGAGATTAATCCCTTGTTGGCTGTGTCATTTGTAAATATTTTCTCCCATTCTGTACATTGTCTTTTCATTTTGTTTATGGTTTCCTTTGCTGTGCAAAAGATTTTAAGTTTAATTAGGTCCCCTTTTTTTATATTTGTTCTTATTTCCATTATTCTAGAAGACAGATCCAAAAAGATATTGCTGTAATTTATGTCAGAGGGTGTTCTGCCTATGTTTTCCTCTAGGAGTTTTATAGTATCTGGTCTTACATTTAGGTCTTTAATACATTTTGAGTTTGTTTTTGTGCATGGTGTGACAGTTGTTCTAATTTCATTCTTTTACATGTAGCTGTCCAGTTTTCCCAGCACCACTTATTGAAGAGACTGTCTTTCATCCACTGTATATTCTCTTACCTCCTTTGTTGTAGATTAATTGACCACAGATGTGTGGGTTTATTTCTGGGCTTTCTATCCTGTTCCATCGATCTATATTTCTGTTTTTGTGACAGTACCATACTGTTTTGATGACTGTAGCTTTATAGTATAGTCTGAAGTCAGGGATCCTGAATACTCAGCTCTGCTTTTCTTTCTCAAGATTGCTTTGGCTATTTAGGGTCTTTCATTGTTCCATAAAATATTTTAAATTATGTGTTCTAGTTCTGTGGAAAATGCCATTCATAATTTGATAGGGATTGCACTGAATCTGTAGATTGCCTTGGGTAGTAGAGTCATTTTAGGGAAATGCAAATCAAAACTACAATGAGGTATCACTTCACACCGGTCAGAATGGCCATCATCAAAAAGTCTACAAATAATAAGTGCTGGAGAGGATGTGAAGAAAAAGGAAACCTCCTACACTGTTGGTGGGAATGTAAATTGATACAGCCACTATAACGAACAGTATGGAGGTTCCTTGAAAACCTGAAAATAGAGCTACCATATGATCCTGCAATCTCACTCCTAGACATATATCTGGGGAAAACCATAATTCAAAAAGATACACGTACCCCAATATTCACTGAAATGCTATTTACAATAGCGAAGACATGGAAGCAACCTAAATGTCCATTAACAGATGAATGGATAAAGAAGATGTGAGATATATTTACAATGGAATATTATTCAGCCATGAAAAAGAATGAAATAATGCCATTTGCAGCAACATGGTTGGACCTGGAGATTATCATACTAAGTGAAGTAAGCCAAACATAGAAAGACAAACATCATATGATATCACTTATATGTGGAACCTTAAAAAATGATACAAATGAACTTATTTACAAAAGAGAAAGCGATTCAGAGCTCTTTACTGAGCTCTGCCCACCAGAGCAACACCCAGCTCTACCCAACACCAGTCCCTCCCATCAGGAAGCTTGCACAAGCCTCTTAGAGAGCCTCATCCACCAGAGGGCAGAGAGCATAAGCAAGAAGAACTACAATCCTGCAGCCTGTGGAACAAAAACCACATTCACAGAAAGACAGACAAGATGAAAACGCAGAGGGCTATGTACCAGATGAAGGAACAAGATAAAACCCCAGAAAACCAACTAAATGAAGTGGAGACAGGCAACCTTCCAGAAAAAGAATTCAGAATAATGAGAGTGAAGATGATCCAGGACCTCGGAAAAAGAATGGAGGCAAAGATCGAGAAGATGCAAGAAATGTTTAACAAAGACTTAGAAGAATTAAAGAACAAACAAACAGAGATGAACAATACAATAACTGAAATGAAAACTACACTAGAAGGAAACAATAGCAGAAGAACTGAGGCAGAAGAACGGATAACTGACCTGGAAGACAGAATGGTGGAATTCACTGCTGCAGAACAGAATAAAGAGAAAAGAATGAAAAGAAATGAAGACATCCTAAGAGACCTCTGGGACAACATTAAACACAACACATTTACATTATAGGGGTCCCAGAAGGAGAAGAGAGAGAGAAAGGACCAGAGAAAATATCTGAAGAGATTATAATCAAAAATTTCCATAACATGGGAAAGGAAATAGCCACCGAAGTCCAGGAAGCGCAGAGAGTCCCATACAGGACAAACCCAAGGAGAAACACGCCGAGATACATAGTAATCAAATTGGCAAAAAATAAGACAAAGAAAAATTATTGAAAGCAGCAAGGGAAAAATGACAAATAACATACAAGGGAACTCCCAAAAGGTTAACAGCTGATTTCTCAGCAGAAACTCTACAAGCCAGAAGGGAGTGGCATGATATACTTAAAGTGATGAAAGGGAAGAAACTACAACCAAGATTACTCTACCCAGCAAGGATCTCATTCAGATTCGATGGAGAAATCAAAAGCTTTACAGACAAGCAAAAGCTAAGAGAATTCAGCACCACCTAAACTACAACAAATGCTAAAGGAAATCCTCTAAGTGAGAAACACAAGAGAAGAAAAGGACCTAAAAAAACAAAAACAAAACAATTAAGAAAATGGTCATAGGAGCATACATACCAATAATTACCTTAAACATGAATGGATTAAATGCTCCAACCAAAAGACACAGGCTCACAGAATGGATATAAAAACAAGACTCATATATATGATGTCTACAAGAGACCCACTTCAGACCTAGGGACACATAGAGACTGAAAGTGAGGGGATGAGAAACTTATTCCATGCAAATGGAAATCAAAAGAAAGCCGCAGTAGCAATACTCATATCAGATATAATAGACTTTAAAATAAAGAATGTTACAAGAGACAAGGAAGGACACTACATAATGATCAAGGGATCAATCCAAGAAGAAGATATAAAAATTATAAATATATATGCATCTAACATAGGAAAAAATACATAAGGCAACTGCTAACAGCTATAAAAGAGGAAACAGTAACACAACAATAGGGGGGGACTTTAATCCTCACTTACACCAATTGACAGATTATCCAAACAGAAAATTGATTAGGAAACACAAGCTTTAAATGAAACAATAGACCAGATAGATTTAATTGATATTTATAGCACATTCCATCCAAAAACAGAAGATTAAACTTTCTTCTCAAGTGCACATGGAACATTCTCCAGGATAGGTCACATCTTGGGTCACAAATCAAGCCTCAGTAAATTTAAGAAAATTGAAATCATATCAAGCATCCTTTCTGATCACAATGCTATGAGATTAGAAATGAATTACAGGGGAAAAAACGTAAAAAACACGAACACATATGTTACTAAATAACCAAGAGATCACTGAAGAAATTAAAGAGGAAATCAAAAAATACCTAGAGACAAATGACAATGAAAACACGACAGTCCAAAACCTATGGGATGCAGCAAAAGCAGTTCTAAGAGGGAAGTTTATAGCTATACAAGCCTACCTCAGGAAGCAAGAAAAACCTCAAATAAACAATCTAACCTTACATCTAAAGGAACTAGAGAAAGAAGAACAAACAAAACCCAAAGTTAGCCGAAGGAAAGAAATCATAAAGATCAGAGCAGAAATAAATTAAATACAAACAAAGAAAACAATAGCAAAGATCAATAAAACTAAAAGCTGGTTATTTGAGAAGATAAACAAAACTGATAAACCATTAACCAGACTCACCAAGAAAAAGAGGGAGAGGACTCAAATCAATAAATTTAGAAATGAAAAAGAAGTTGTTGCAACAGACACCGCAGAAATACAAAGCATACTA